AAACAGATAGAACAGATACTGTTTACAGCAAGACCACTGAAAGACATGTCTGGCTGCTACACATCAGGCAAGCCACTGAGTGCACAGAGCATTTTGCAAATGTTAGCTGGGGCTCTATCCGCAAGTGTAACGCCACTGTGGCTGCTGTCTGAAGAAAAGATGAAAACTTGAATCAACTGTTAGCTGGTGTAAAATGGGACTCTGGTAGATTTTATATTTGTGGTTCTGTCACAAAACCGTGGAGACAACAAACAGCAAAATTTTTATTTACAAAATAAAACTGTACATGATGCATGATGCTGCTTAATTCTTAGTCTTCACATTCCTACAAATGCACATTCTTCTATTACTAATACATATTACTAATGGCAACTGATGTGTGAATGTGTCACACGAGTAAAGTACGGTAGGCATCAGATGGTACATGTGCATACGTTATGTGTGTGTGTGTGTGTGTTTGTGTGTGTGTGGTGCTGGTTAATTAGAGCACTTGGTCTCAGGAGGATCAGACCTGGAGGACAACTGTCTCTGCTACGTGACAGAAGGCCAGGTGGCGGTGTGTGTCTGTGTCTGACATAAACAAACACTGTGGAGTAGACAACCGCACACACATCTGCACACACTCAACACCAGGAAAATGTACAGATGAACCACTGTTGAGTAGAATTAAACTGGGACAATGTGAGGGTAAAGTACTCATCCTCTGAAGGCATGAAAAGGTTTGTTCCTTCATATGTGGAGGACACCAGCTGTTGGATTATGTGAATCCAAGCTTACCAAGAAATGTTCATCAGGTTTGTTTGGTTGCACTCTTGACAGTGCCGATGCTGTCCAACTTCATTGCGGCAGTCAATGTTGACATCCCTATCACCTGGTTAGCGTGCGCTTCTTTTACTGCATACTGACAGCCAAATGAAACAGCATTAGACCTAAGGACATTCCGTCTATCCAATTCAGTCATTAAACGTTAAAATATTAAGACAAGGATTCAATGATCATGGTTTAAAAAGTGCATATGTATTTCATTAGCATGGATTTACTTGGTGGAAAACCTGCTATAGAGAACTGCACAGTCAAGCCTCAGCCCTTCCTCCTCTTCTTCCTCCTCCTCCTCCTCCTCCTCCTCCTGCTGCTGCTGCTGCTGCTGCTGCTGCTGCTGCTGCTGCTGCTGCTGTTGTCATTGGTCAGGGCATTTATTTGAGCCCTCACGTGGTTTAGTGAATTCAAGCGACTAAGGATCCCACACTGGGCAAACTGCCAATCTCATGTTAAGATCTTGTTCTTAAGTACATTCCTGCACTCTTGCTGCAGCACTTACACATAAGGTACTTTTGGCATTGAAACAGTATTGAGGCACACTGGCATATGAGCAGGCAAATTGCTGCCATTGTACAATAAGGCAGAGGTAACCGAATGATTAAAAAAAGCAGTGACAAAACCAAAGTAAAAACAGATCCAGTTTGATCCTTGAAAATAGAAAACAAGCATGCACACCTTCGAGCATCTAAGAGAAAACATAAGAGCCAAACAGATTACAGAAAAAGGGGGATACACAGAGATCCTGGCAACCTGGTGTGTGTGTTGCAATCCTTTTCAAAGTTCACTTTGGGGTGCAGGGAAGAGCAAATAAGCTTGAAAGAGCCAAAAAATCATGAGTCCAGCCCTCAAAGATAACATATCCCGAGGGGTGCGATGGCACCTGGCACGTAGGCAAATTTACAGGTTCTTTATAGTAACATACCAGCACATCAGCAAACACAGGCAAACCAACACAACAGCAAATAAAGACAAATTCTTGTAACTGCACTGACAAATACCAACCCAACTGTTAGACAATAAGGTTTAAGATGAGCCGTATTTCTTTTCAGCATAAACTTGTGCAACTCTTTAAGACACAGCTCTGAAAGCTCATCCAATGCCATGCTACTATTATGGACACACATAATTATCATAGAAGCACACAAACACTAAGTGGTCAATATGCAATGAATGCTCAATGGTACAAATAATATACAAGTCTTGGTTTGTAAATTGGCTGTTAAAAGCATGCATGTTAAGCTTTTAAACAGACACAACACAATGCAAAGCACTGATCCTCAACACTGAAGCAATAACATGTATTTGTTGCTGTAAATTTACATGCATCTTAAAATGTATGTAATGTGTTAAAGCAAAATATTTTATTGTGTGGACATTTTAATGTGATTAATTAATTAACTTATTTATTTATGAAATATTTTTGTCTTGCCACCTCTCGTACTGTATTTTCTCCCTGACATATTTTGTTTAACCTGATTTTATTCCCACTGGTATTGCTGTGAGTGAGATTATGATCTAGAAATAATACATTAGTTTAAATCATTTCCACATTTTCAAGGATCAGTTTTACTTTATTTTTTCTATTACAGCATGATTAGACATACGTCTCTTCACCTCATTGCCTTGGGCTGATCGATACACTGCCAAGATAACAAGAGTAAACAGGAACAAGACCGGACACTGGTCGATTTTCTCTTCAAAATATAAGCAAGAAAAAGAAAAAAGACTACGAAAGTACCAAAATTAACACTGGAGAATCGTGTCGTATAGATGTTGGACTTGAATGTACTAGTTGTTTGGCTACAGCTACGATTTTCTTTGTAAACCACGTAAATGGGATTATCTCGGTCAACAGTCCTGTGATACTGCACTTGATTTGGATAGTGTTTGACAGCTTCAAAACAACAACATGCTATATGACAGTTCATTGGAAAACGTGCATCTGTAGCTAAATGTGGTAATCCACACACAAAATACAACCTATCAAAGAAAATGTAATTAAATACAAAAAGTGTGTTTATTTTGAAACACCAGACCGGAACTGTGTGGCTATAGCTGTTTCGCTTAACGGTTGAGTCGGTTGAGGAAGTCCGAGCGATATCAACCGGGAATAACTCAAAATTTTTCTCTGCAAAACTACAATAAGTTCACTTCAGTCACACAAACACCTCCAAAAATCAACCAAAGCTTAAATTTACGGGTCGTGAAATTTTACTTCGACAACAACAAAACACAAACACAGGCTAACGTCCGGTCTCACGGTTCACATAAGCCCACAGTTGTCGCTTGTGTGGATCAGGAAGGGGGTTTTAACAGCTAACTGTTAAAGTTAAACAAGCAAAGTCCGGTTTGGGATATTTGAGCAGTAATCGCACAATGTTTGAACGCGTTTAAACACGTAAGCGTTTACTTTTTTCACCAAACACTGGAGACCCGGCAGCGGATTTGCCAGATAACCGGCGTAAAGTAGCGTTTTTCATCCGTCTAGCTAACGATAATTTCGCCTGAAAACAGTACTGATAGCTGTCACTCAGTCAATTCCACCGACATGTCTTCACCCAACAACAATTCATTAAAGAGGCTAAAACACCGTGGACACTGACTGATAACCTGCACGATAAACACCGGTCGACTCTAACATTATTTCCCGGACTCAACTAGTTCACCCCATAATATATTTTCATAACACCATTCAAATTTCATAACGGTAATGTCGCGGCGCTATTAACAAGGCAAAATGCACCATAAAGTACGATAACCTCGGTATAAACCGGTACAGACACTTTACAGGAATATTATATGGTTTATTATTTTTATGGGGGGTGGGGGGGTGGAGGGTGGGGGAGTTGAAGGGAGTGGGGGGGGCGAGTTGTGAGGGGGAGCGAGGGGTGGGGGGGTTAGTCAGGAGAATAACAGGAAACTTACCTGAGAGTTGAGAGGGCATGGACGCGTGCTGGGCGAGATGTGTCTCCCGGTGATGTCGGTGCGGTGTCGGTCAGCGGGACGGAGCGGCAGCAGTGTCCAGGGCCGAAGCCGCCATGTTCCTGTGGCTCAGAGGCTCCTCGGCTGTTTATCTTTACCCCTCTCCCCTCCCCTCCCCTCCCCTCCCTCCCTCCCTCTCCCCCACCACCTCCACTCATCTCATTACCACACTGCAGAACTGGGTGTCTCTGGCAGCTCTCTGACCTAGGCACAAATTAAACCTAATGGATATTTTTTTTTAATTTTATGTTTTTGTGGAACAATTAGAAATAAAATAAATCAATTTGCAAATTAATTACCTTTGGGCCACATTTTTGTGTGCCACTTGGTTTTGTCATGAAAGCTTTAGGTTTAATATTTTATATTAAGCCTTACAGCCTTTTGATTAAATAAATTAAAAAAAAAGATAATATAATATTCTTATAGTGAGAGAATGTTCACTTTATATTCGGTGTAATTTACAGTGATCTTAATGTGAGATCTCAGCAGTAACTATATTGATTGATTAGTGATTTAAAATGAAAGTCTTAAAATTAATTTTGTTTGATTAGTTTATCACAATTTGATCAACAGAAATTCTGAAAATGACCAATATCACTGTAACATACATATGGCTGTGTGCACCATATATTCCACTTATCTCTTTTAGCACTTCTCTGTGTTACTGCAGCACTGATGTTTGTTGTAAACTTTTCAGCCTGTTGTGTCCTTCCATTGAGCTGCATGATTCATGCACTGTAATTCTTCATAATAAGTGATGACGTTGATTTCAGTCACCAGTCAGCCCCAGGGCGAGCACTTTGTGTAGAAAAACCTGAAGACGTGGAGAAAGCTCCACATTTGGCTGTGAGAAAAGTCCCCAAACAGACTGCATCCATTCTGTTAGTCAAAATGAAAACTGATCAGACTCACTGAGGGGTTGGCCAGAGGTCAAAGGTTCAAACAAAAGACCTAGATCTTATTATTACTCATCAGAATGTGGGATCATCATGCTGATTTAACGGAGATTATATTCAGCTGTTCAAAGCTCTTTTTAAGTGGTAAACTAAAGTATTCACGTTTTATACTTGATACATAAAAATCACCATAAGATGTCCCCTTAAGGATGATCTAATAATTATCACAAATACACTCCATCATGGTCAGAAATATAAAACAGCAACTCATTCGGTATTTAGTGTTTTTTAATATATCTTTTCCAACACACATTCACAGTCTTTACAAGTATTATTTTAAACAATTTTCTGAAGAAAAAAAAATCAAAACTATTTGTAATGTTTGAGCAAATTATGTTAATTTATAATTGAAATTATCACCCAATATAATGAATGAGCAGATGCTGCCCCCTAGTGACCAACTGAAAATTTGTGCAGAATATGTGGTACAAAGTTCACAGAGACTGAGAACAGAGACTAAATCAAAACAAAGTTAAAAGAAAAAGGCGACAGCTGAAAAAAACTTATCAGGTGGTCTGGATAGAAATATATATTTCATCATCTGTCACAGTCAACAGTCTCTGAGAGCACATCAAATTGGATACTCTCAGCCTAATTATTTATCCTACTGACCTTCCTTTACCCAGTGCTTCCCATACAGGTGGGCCTTCATCCCCCAAAAGATACACATGTAAAACCTGTCCTGAGATAGGCTGAATAAACACCAGTGATGAGAAGGTGCCAACAACAACATAACAAGCAACAATTAACTGACAGGATAAATGATTTGAGACCAGTGGCCCTCAGGGCTTTATACCTACAATATGCAAATTCAGTGTTATACTATGCTATGTATGCGGTATATACTCCTGAAGAACACTACTTTGATAAAACATTATGTCTGTTCATTAAGTTTCACAGACTACCACCTCTTAAATGTTATACCCAGTTAAGCTGTTTTTCTAAAGGACATTGGACATCAGTTGACAAAATCCTCCAGTGCCCACAGAAATCAAAATGGAATCCAAAGAGGAGGAAGAGAATGGGGAAAAAGAAAGGGTTGTGTACCAAACTCCATTGATAAAATGGTTATTTCATGATGGATTGTCAGGTTTAGGGCCTTGGCTGGAGTTAGAATCTGCTATTGTGGCAAAGGCAGCAGAATCTGTTTTCAGTGATCAAAAGAAAAGAGCCCCTCTAGAAGCAATAAGACAAGGAAGTTAAGCCATTTAACTTTGCCAGATGAGGGCACTGTGGCACATCAATCACACTGTAGGGTGGGGCTAATCTTCCTTTCATTTTAGCCTTGTTAAACTTTGACACAGGCTGCAGCTCAGTCCTGGTGAGTCCTGCTGTTGGTCTTGTTTTGTGTACTCAAAGTCAAGAAAAACCTCCACCACCATCCCTGATTTTCCTTGATTATGTGTGTCAATCAGCAGACCTGAGTCATTTCGGCACAAACATTACGCTGAAGGGTTCTGAAAAATTCTGAATCATTGAACCAGATGGATTTTCATCATCCTGGCCAAATGCTCAATCAGAGTCCATTTCATCATGGTCGTGGTGGACATCACAGATTACTCTTCCACTTGGTGTTCTGTAAGGTCTCATCAACTGTAGAAAAAAAAAAAAAAATTCAAATTTGCATAACAGCACATTCAGCGGTTATCATTGTCCTTGACCTGATTTGGTTGAGGTTCTCACAATAGTTTTTGCAGTTGTTGAAGACAGGACATACCCAAAATAATCTTTCCTTCCTTCTCCAGTTTCTTTAAGTGATGGACCAGGTTCACATTAGCCGCTTGGTGCAAGTGTTCAGGAGTGTCCTGGAAGACAAGCAGTCAAAATCATTTTTTCCGTGTCTCAAATAACAGAGCACAGTACATGGCTTTGGTCGCTTCTGTGAACAAAGATGGGTGGCTGCTCCCACTGGCGTGAATGCCACTAGACTCCAAATCTGGTTAAGGTGTACACACAGGGTTCGGTCCTGACCTTATAGACGATCTTTACGAGCTCCATGGAGGAGAAAGGCTTTCCTGCTCCATCCTGAATGGCCGCCAGGATCTGCTGCTCTCGTTGGTGCCGGTGGCTGATGTAGTGTCTGATCTTAGAGCCAGCATCCTGAACCACGGGGCCGTGACCTGCACCGGGAACAGCAGCGGAGCAAGATTCTTTTAATGAACGACGCATCAGACTGATTAATTTAAAATGTCAATTTAAAGTGTAAACCATGTATAATCATTTCATTTTCAAATCATTTCACTTTATTAAACAAAGTAATTGTAGAGGATTGTTTGTGTGCTTGACTGTAACTGATAGGAAGCAGATCTTAACACACCAACAGAGAACAATAGCTGCTGGTTAAGAAGGAAAAAGGTAGAAATCAGAGATGTTCCGATACCATTTTCTCCTTCCCGATACCGATTCCAATACGTGAACTTGTGTAGCTGATACAATACCCCTGCTTTAAAAAAATGTACCAGCTGTGTACTACTAACCCTGTATGGATGTGATATGACTGCTGTCATTGTTGTATGGCATGGCTCAGGTTAAACCCTTTGTAAAACATAAACACATACATGAAAATCATAGAATCTTTCTTTTAATATCTAATTTCACTCATATCATTCAAAAAAAGAATAAATGTAGGAATAATAGACAAATTTTCCTAACACTTAGTGCCGCCCCTCCACATTAGAGCCTTGCACACTGTACGTGTTGCCAGTTAACTGCTGGGACTTTCCAGTGTACTTTTGTAGCCAAATTGCTGACATTTTGCTAACGGCTAACGTTACACTGTTTACCGGAAATCAATTCCTCTTCGCAATTTCCTGTTTCCTACTGGTTTAGAGCTGCAAAGAACTGATTTTTGAGAAAACTGCTGTTATAGCTAAGTGTGAAACTAAATACTTGTTAATAAATGACACGGTATTGAATTAATACATAGACTTAAAAAAAAACAGTGTTACTGAAATGAACTAAAAGTTGATCAACAGAAAACGTACTGACAAAATTGACTAATCGCTGAGATCATTTATCATGAAAAAATACCAGATAATCACTGGTTGCATTGTCTCAAATGTGAGGATTAGAGCTTTTTTTTTTTCTTACATTTTAAAGCAAAATGAATCAATGAATTTGAAAAAAAAGATCAATAAACAATAACAATAATGATTATTATAATCGTCATCATCATTATTGCAGCTCTAAAACTAATTTTAAGCATCTTCAATGAAACCATGAGAATCGATATTAAAGGGATGAAAAACATGAAATATGAGGAGTGAGTTTCTGACTGGAAGGTCGCTGGTTCAATCCACAGGACCAGCAAGAAAAATCTTGGTGGGGAATGTGAAAGAGCAGCACTGGCCCCTCCCTTATTGTTCCCTCACCACTGAGGTGCCCTTGAGCAAGGCAATTAACCCCCACCTGCCCCAGTGCGGGTGCTGGCCCCTCACTTAGTACCACCACTGAGGTGCCCTTGGCCTTCAACTCCCAAGAGACAGACTATGATTGTACTGGCCCTCAGAGAAGCTTCCCTGAGTAAAAGAAAAGGGTTTAAAAAGAAAAAATAAATTAGCGCACCACACATCCCAGCACAGATGAGGTCGGCCTTAGAGTCCAGCAGGATCTTCAGAGATTTCATGTAGTCGTAGAGATCCTCAAACACGGCCGTGCCCTCGCCCAGGATGCAGTCTCCAGAGAAGAGCGCCTGCTCCTCCTCCAGCAGCAGGGCCATGTGGTCATCGGTGTGACCCGGGGTGAACAACACTCTGGGGAGCGGAACATGATCATTTATCTTTCATACATTATCACTTTCCTCTTTTAACATGATATATTATTAAATGATATATTCAACTTGCATTTAAACAGAACTGACTTGAGTGTAGCACCCTCTGTCTGGACGACATCTCCATCTTTTAGGTAAGAATAGCTCTTGTCCCCGGCTGTGTCAGTTGCTTTGCGGAAGCGAGGCAGTTTGCTGACTCGCACCTCAGAACCTGCAGGAGGGAATAATAAACAGAATAATATTGGGCCGAAATGTAGTAATGAACGGTAAAATTTTTAAAACTGGGTTAAATAGCCCAGGGGTCATTGAACATGTTCCACACAGTCAGTCCTCACCAGTGATGTCCCTGCAGATGTCCTCCACTCCTCCCGTGTGGTCGTGATGCCAGTGTGTGACGATGATCTCCTGGATGCTGGTGTTGAACTGTGACAGTGCCTGTTTCAGACTGCTGATGTATTCAGGCACAGCAGGTTCTCCGGTGTCTATCAGCACCCGTCTGCAATAAAATCACACATTATATATTTAAATACGCAAGGCTTTAAAAGTGGCTATCTATATCCATGTACACCAGTTCTACTCATTTATTAACTATTAAAAATGTCTAACTTTACCTTATTTTTTTGACTTTGCATTTACATTTAACCCATACTCTATAGAATTTAGTTTTTTGTTTTGTTTTGGGGTTTCAGTATTTTTGTGTTATGTAGTTGGTGTTCTTTCACAAGTCAAGGTATGAATATATTATTTTATGACAGAATAAAACCAAACTTTTACTCTAGGGCAATTCAGAGTGCCAATGTAAGAATCGTGTTTTTAACTTCAGTCAAGTACTTTTAAAAAGTACTCCAAATTATTGATATCTCTAATATTGAGTATATGCCGTAATAATAAGTAGGTCCTGGCTATTCAGTATACATTGTCAATCTTGGTTTATAGGCTATGTATTTTAGCCTACAAGAAAGGAAACACTGAATATAGAAGATATTGAAGGGGATTTGGCGTGACGTTTTTTTCCGTGGGCAAACGAAGCATGCTCTTGGTTAGCAAGACATTACGCTGACTACGTTTCCAAATACGTACAGTATGAAACAGAAAACATGTTGTAGCAGACATGGTAACCGCTAATGTTGGCTTGACTAGTGTCACCTTTCCCCGGTGCCAACAAGATAAGTGTTGGTCCCCTGCAGAGTCATCGGTCCCGGGTTACAGCCCAAAACCCGGACGACTCGGGCGGACAGCTGCTCTATCCGAGGAATGATTGCACTCATAGCTGCAGCCGATGTGACGTTAGCTACAGAGTAACAGGACAAAACACACTGACACACAAGTTCACCAAAACCTCGTCAAACAGGATATATACAGGAAACTGCATGTGATCAATGTTTACTTCCTGTATGTCCCAAAGGAGCCTTCAAAATAAAAGTCTCGTTTCTTTCGTACTAGTAGTAGGGGTTTTGTTTGTATTTTGTCTGTCTCTATCTGACGCTGTATACATCACCCTCTACTGTTTTGTTAATTCTCATGTTATTCTAGGCCTAGTAGCAGTTCCCTTTTATCTGTGATGTTCATTTGCCTTATTATGTCTGGATTCTTTTACCAGTTCAATATTATATGTGTTATATATGTTTTTTCAGTGTAAATCTGCAGCTTCCAACCTCTCTCTGTTACATTCCTGTGTAGAATAAAAATGATTTTTAATCAAAATTATTCCATCTATCTGTCTATTACTGATTGCCTGGGCCAAACCCTTTATAAAAGCCTTCTCACACTACAAACCCTCTTGCATACATTACTTTCACATTAGTGCCATATTAATTTTCTGTACAAATGCTTTTTCACAATTAAATAAAGAAATGCATGCAGTTAGTGCTGCCACAAAAGCATACCCCAGTCAGGCTGATAGGCCTATGGCAGGATGTTTACTAAATATCTGTCACAGTAAATGTCAGTAGGATGAACCAAACACTAGGTGGGGCCATTGTCCAGTCTGATAATGGCTCAGTCACCCCCTCACCTAATCAGTGACACTGTGGTACTTGAAAATATTAAACAGTCCTGGTTTATCAGCGTTTCACAGTTTGAGAATTTTATTACTTGGTAATGATTATGAAGCTTGTCAGCTCCTCACAGTTCAGTGTCAAATATCAGAGCTATCTGGCTTAATGACTGTTGTTATTGCCCTCATTAATCCCAAAGTTTAAATGGGCGTTTTTATTACACCTCAAACTGAGGGAACCAAAATCATTAAAAGACGTTTAACCACGTAAAACTACCAACTGAATGGCTGCTGCTCTGTATCTGATCCTGACCTCTGACCTGTCTGTGGGGGGGGGGGGGTTAATGAAATAGCACATAATTATAAAGACATATTAATATGAGAACTAATTTAGAAGAAATTTTAGGGATTTTCTTAAGGGAGTTTTGCATTGCTGTCATCCTAAGATTCATGACAATAACATCACAGCTGAAGACAAAGTAGTAAAACATTCAAGTTATTTTTAAATGAGAGAAATGCTGTTATCAGTCTACATAGATTTCAGGCTGAGCAGCCCCCTCTCAAGTTTAAAGATGAAAATTTGATTATAAGTACTATAACAATTAGGTTATTTGATGATCATTTTAAATGAATTTTATATCCATATTTTTGTCAGCCTGTGATGTGATTTGGCCTTCACAGTCAGTCAGCTAATATTCCCACCGTGCACTCATCAATGACAAAATGCCCAAAAAATTATATTAAAGGTGATCTTGTCCTACTTTTAATTTCTTTTCCGTATCTAATCAACTATTCGACTACCAATCAGATTTGTCAACAGTGACAAACCAATCAAGGTAGATGTCCAGGAACCCACCCACCTGTAGCCTACATTTTAAATCTTACAGGGACTAACTATGGTCAGTGCTGCCATTCTGTGGGGAGACTTGAGGGGATCCACTGTATCTAAATGTCTGAATCCAGGCTGCTTAGGTCTGAGGGAAAAAAGTAATGTAAAGAAAACAGTACTATGTGGTGTCAGGAGTTTTTCCTCACTGTACAGGAGGTACAGCTGATAGTGAATAGTCATGGAAGTTTTGGGGAGATGTCTGACATCCATTTATTCTGTGCTTTAATGAGAAATTATTATAATATTTATGACTGCTCTCGCCTTTTCATGATGAAAAAGATGAGGGATTGAAGGATGTAGAGCAGTGAAGATGTGCCTAATTTACAAATGGACTGGTTGGTTTCACTATAATTTATAATTTATCTACAATATGGTTGGACAGTAAGAGCAAAACACAGAAGCAATGACTTCATATTGCCAAAGGTGGTGCCAAATGGTGCGGACACCGTTGCAGTTTATTACATTTAATTCTCAGTTAAAACCGATTTCAGTCGTTCCCTGCCTCCTTACAGTCACACCATAAGTGGTGAGTTGTGCAGGCTGATAATGAGCTGAGGATTTCATACACAAATGCTTGATGGGATCACAAGTCGTGAGAAAAATGTGGGCGGCGTGACGGGCAAAGTTTCAAACAGCGAACTTGGAACTGTAATGCATAGAAAAACACACATTATCCAATTATATTTGGATTGTTACGTTTTTTTTAAAGGTAAATTTCTGCCTGTTAACTAAGCAAAACTCAGCTTAGACACAGTTGTGAACATTAACTGCAACAAATACAGATGAATGAGGAGGGATTAACATTGACAAGACAGAATCAATGGCGTACTCAGCCACATTCGTCTGAGCTGCGTCTTTAATTTGATGTATTTCTTGTTGAAACTGGATATTGGGTCAGGATGTGATGTGTTATAATCTCAGCATTTGTGTCATATTTGACAAATAATCCAGTTAAATCAAATTTCAATCAACTCTGTATTCTGTGAAATTCCAGGGACGACCTGAACAACGTCCTCCATGCCTTCAGATCCTCCTGCCTTTATTAATGCAGCCCTTTGTATTTTGGCATCACTCAGATTTCTTCACCCTGTCTCCAACTAGTTTAAAATGCTGAAGCAAAGCTTTTAAGAAGGTCAAAGAAGATGGAAGACATTACTCCTGTTCTCAACCCCCTCCATTAGCCCCCTGTTACCTATCGAACTGTGTTCAAAATTCTGCCATTTGTCTACAAAGCAAGTCCTGAAATCCTCTGAACAAAGCCTCTTGTTTGTCTCAGTCCAGGACTAAATGTTCCCCTAAAAAGAGGAAAGGCATGCTTGGACAGAATTGTTCATATAGTGGTTGTGTTTTATGCCATAAATGAGAAAGTGATCTATATTGTATATGGGAAAGTAATGTATAGGAACCTGAATAAATGAACAGATGCAGATGCTTCCACACAGGTGCACTGTATGGTACAATTAAGCGATTAATATAAGAACCAGCTGATACTTATTTGTATCAAGATGACGCGAGGAAAAGATCGAAGAGGGTTCATTGTTGGGGCAAGAGCTTCAGTCACAAAGATGTCAACTCGTGTTTCAATAGGAGCAGTGACTAAAGTGACATCTGCATTTAGATCTATGGGAAAGACGTCAGTAAGAAGGGTCTAAAATTGCAGTTGACAGTGCACAGTAGGTGACAGTGATGCTCTTCCTCAGGTGACTGAGAACGTCAATGCAGGACGTGATCAGACTGTGTCAGCAACACCGGTCCATCCACAACTACATCGAGGGGGATATTGGGCTGCAGTGCATAAACCCCTCATTACAACGATGACACTTCAGTGGTGCAAAAGCAAGAGGCGCTGGTCTACAGAGAGGTGGGAAAGAGTGATAAGATGAGTCATACTTCACCATGCTCTCCACATGTCAAGAGCACGGTACGGGCCCGATTGCTTGACCCCTACAGTAAGGGGATCCGGTGGCTGTGTTCTGCTGTCGGGGGCATTTTACTGACATGGTTTGGGTCCACTTGTCCCCAGAGGGAAGGGCCACTCTGCTGCTGCCCATCACCATCATCAAAACACCAAATGAGGGTCTGGAGACTTGTAGGTTCAATGCCAAGGTGCACTGAAGCTGCTCTAGAGGCGGGTAGAGGCCCAACAACTTACCACAGCACTTTATGTTGGTTTTTCCTTCACATACATATATTTATAAATGAAGTGGATTGAGGCTAAGTGGTAAATTGCCTGATGGGGACCACACACATCCTTCTTAACACCTTGTTTGATATTTTCTCCAATAAATCCTGACCCATAAAAAACAGCTGTAAAAGAGGGGAGAATCTGGCTCTCTATAATATTTACAGGTAGAAAAATGTAGTGGGGGAAGCAGAGAGACATTATTTCCCTAAATGAAATAGATCCTGACATCTGGGCATCCAAGGGCCCCATCCTCCTCTCTCTCTCTCTCTCTCTCTCTCTCTCTCTTTGTAATTACACGACATAATGGTGGTGCAGTCGGCCCGTAATCTCCCATTATAATCAGTCTCGGCTGCCTCCACTCGCTCTCCACCACAGCTTCTAATTCAATATAAATGTAAATGACTTGGGAAGAGAGAGAGAGAGAGAGAGAGAGAGCGAGGGGGGAGGGGGGGGGTTCGGGAACAGTAAGTAGAGTGTAAACGTGGGAGTCTGATCTCACTGCAAATCCATACTTATATTTAAGTTGTGCATGTCTTTATAATATTATGTACAAATTGAATGTGGACTGTGAGGACCATGTTGGTGTGATCTAAACCTGAGAGTATGTTGGTATTAAATTAAATTGCAGGCATGGAAACATGAGCAATAATATAATGGGATCCTCAACTAAAATTGTAAATTTAAAGGGTTGGATCATCTGAATAACAGAAAATGATTTCTCACTTACTTCTAGTGGATAATTTTGTGTTTATCTATCTAGGGTTGAGATATTTCCACTGCCGCTGGATAATGAATACAGTGGAAATAAGGGCGAATTACATTTACAAAATTCATTGTTTTCCTGGAAACAATGACTCTGGATGATCCACAGACCTCGCTGTCAGTTTTCATTGGACTCAATCCACTGAAAAAACTGTTTGAAGCTGTTGACATTGTTGTTCTGTGGGTTATCCGTAGTAACAGAGCAGATGTTTGTTGAGATGCTTGAAATCACGTCTGTCTAAGTTTTCCCGACGAAAAGTGACCTGTTGTGTTCATGCAATTAATGGCAGTACTCGCTCAGAAGGAAGCAGGTATGGAAGATTTGGCTTGACATTCAAAACCGCAGTTTGACAGTTCTTCCATCCTGACTCTGCAGAATGTTAATGTTTTCATTTATATTGAGCTCATTTGTTGAAATATTGTGTTTTATCATGTTGCTTCCATTTTCTTGTATGTCCAATAATTAACACACAGAAATTTACACCCTCCTTGAGCAAGGTGGTATTACTCCACCATAGGAGAAATGTAGGACAT